ATTTTTTTTCTTTTTTTTTTCTTTTTGCCAACGTGGTCGCTTTTTATTGGGTAGGTGTTGTGAAGAAGATGTGACACTCAGATGTGTAAACGAGTCGAGCCTAATAAGTTTTTTGATACTCGAGTTTCTTTTATTAGCTCGCTCGTTTTGTTGACGAGCTGAATAATACTCGAGTTTCGTTTATTAGCTCGTTTTGTTGACGTGTTGAGCCAGATATAAATGTGTAAACGAACCGAGCTGAAGTTTCTGATACTCGAGTTTCGTTTACTAGCTTGGTTTGTTTATGAGCTGAGATATAAATTAATGTGTAAGCGAGCCGACGTGAAGTTTTTAAGACACGAGTTTTGTTTATTAGCTCATTTTGTTGACGAGATGAGCCGGATATAGGCTTTGTTTTAATAACAAGCTTAGCAAGACTCGGGCTCGACTATTAGGAGCTTCGGTGTGATTCTTTTATCAATATTAGAGAATTGAGCCAAATAAATGTTCGAACTCGAGTATCAAAAGCTTGAACTCGTTTCATTTAAAAATATTAAAGAGCTGAGCCAAATAAAGGCTCAAGTTCGAGTATCAAAATTTGAACTTGACTCGTTTATCGTTAAAAGTGAGCTAAATAAAGTCTCGAACTTCGAGTCAAACTTGAATGTTAAGAGCCAAATTTAAGTTTGAACTCACGGGTACTTCGTTTCGTTTAATCGCACTAATTGTTATACAGAGTTTTGAAGCATTTAGATTTATGTTTGTTGCCTATATACTTTATTTTGTTTTTGAGTTGAACAAAAAGATTAATCATAAGTTGAAATTGTGCAGAAATTAGAAACAATATTTAATGGGTTGGATCTAATTGCTCGAATTTTTAAGGTAGGTGATTTTGGTCAACTCGAAGTTGGACCACTTTTATTATATTCTGCTTAATATTATTTTCGTTTTTTCATCATATATATTTTTTAAAATATAAAAATTAGGAATATAAAAATACCTCATCAGTACAGATTTATTAATTGCCAGCTCTTCACTAGGGGACCAACTTAGGGCTTTATACGCATGTATTTGGGCCCAGGCCCAGATCTGAGAAAGGCCCCTTAATGATATATATTGATATGTGCAGTAACGAAAGAAAATTAAAACCACAGGCTATCATCAATCAATATATACACTATAGGGAAGAGCTTCATTTGATGTCAATTGCATTTTAAAAGAGCTTATTTAAACATTTCCAGTTTAGACTAGCAAGCCCAATCACTAGGCCCGACAGTTTACAGAGTGCTCTTATCTTGGGGCTTTTCCCGAGCCCAATTAAAAATTATAATAGCCGATTCCCAAACCCAATTAAAAATCCACCACAATTTCTTGTTAGGTCATTTCCTAATTAAGATTATACTTGGTAAGACTAATTGATAAGCTAATTTATAGATTTAACTGAATTTCGAGCTTATAGCTGATAACTTATAACTTACGGTCGAAAAGTTAGCTTATACGATAAAAATGTTTGGTCAAATTAGTTGCTTAACTGAATGAAACTGACGAGATAAGTTTGAGCTTTTAAAAAAGTTTGTCCCACCAATTAAGCTATAAACTAGCGTCTAAGTGTCATTTCTTAATGGGCCAATTTAAGAGCAAAACTATTGTTCATTTTCTTTGTTAAACTCAAGCCCATTAGAACAGGATCGCTACACGCTCACCCACATTTTCCATTGTAGGCCCAATACGGTATGGGCCTGAAATTTTAAATATCGCACCTTGCCCGGTATAGACGTACTACGGAGATGTTTCTGGTCTTATCTTCTCCCACTTCCGGTTATCCGACCTCCGTCATCGCCTCACCGTGCGCCGCCGCCGTGTGCCGTCGAGAATCGGCCTCTTTGCGCTCGTCAAGGAATCGAGCCTCAGCTGTCGCTGTCCGTCGCGAGGAGCAACCTTTTGTTCCGGAGGTACAACACGTCACTCCACCACTCTCACACTTGCTTCTGTTCATCAGCCGATTGCTTGAGGAGCAGTTTTTTTTTTTTTTTTTGTCTCTCATTCTTGAAAATGTTTTTGAGATTGCGCAGGTTGAGAACGCGGTGGACTCGCTGTATTCGGAGTTTCGAGCGGTGGATAATTTGGTGGCCCGCAACTCTAGGCGAGTGCTTAAAGCTTTTCAGAATGCTCGTGTTGGGTCTCATGTAAGCTTTGATTTCCATGGAAATATCAGCTTCGTTATGGTTGCCCTTTTGATTAGATTGATTTTTCTAATTGTGTTGATTTGCTTTGAATTTGTGGAATTGCTTGATTGTCGGTATTTTGTTTTCACTGCTTTCAGAAGAATATGACTCATACTTCGTTAAGTGTAATCGCGCTTTAGAGCTCGAATGAACTTAATTGGTGATGCTTACGATATTAGCTCGTCTGGAGGAATGGCATCAATTTCGACATTGATCACTTCACTTTTTAATTGGTTATTAAAAACCGGACTATAATCACTGCATGATTCACTTGACTAGTGTAGAACATAAACAAGCCGTGTCTTGTATAAGCATTGTGTTCTTGCATGGCACCGAGGTTAATTAGCTGCATTCTCGAGCTTATTACATGGTGAATTTTCTGATTAAGCATGTGATGTATGCATGGGAACCAGCACTTTGGTGGCAGCACAGGCTATGGTCATGAAGAAGCTGGTGGGCGTGAAGCACTGGATCAAGCCTTTGCAGAAATTTTTGGTGCTGAATCTGCAATTGTTCGAGCTCAGGTTTCCTATTACCTGGTTTTGTTTCTTTGTTAGTTTGGATTAATTTACTTTTACCCAAATCCTCTTTCTTTTATCTATTGCCAGTTTTTCTCAGGGACTCATGCTATCACCTGTGCTTTGTTTGCTTTTTTGAGGCCAGGGGATGAGGTAAGTGTTTATTTTTCACTGTTCTAGTGCTTGATTGAGGAATATTTCTGTGCATTTCTGTTCTTTGCTTCAGCTGTATTTATACCATGCTAGACTGATTATCGTCAGCTTCTGGCAGTTGCTGGAGCTCCTTATGACACTTTGGAAGAGGTCATTGGAATTAGGAACTCTGGCAATATAGGTTCTTTGAGAGATTTTGGTATAAATTATAGAGAAGTTCCAGTATGTTTGCTACTGATTTACATTTTTTTTTTTTTTTTCGATTGTCTATATATGTACCTTTGCCAATCGTTTAATTTTCTGGTAAATATCTTTCAGCTTGCTGAGGATGGAGGTCTCAACTGGGATGCCCTCAGGATAGCTTTGAAGCCACAAACAAAATGTGCACTTATTCAGAGGTCATGTGGCTATTCATGGAGGCGAAGCCTTAGTGTAGATGAAATTGAGAAGGCAATAAAGATAATCAAGGTTACTTTTGAAACCGATTCTCTTTTAGGTATTGGTTGATTAGTTTTTGGAGTTATTGAACCTTTGTCAACTATGAAGTGATGCCAAGATCCTGGCTTCTTTATATGTGAAAGACTTATCAAACTTTGCTTGGGCCTGAAAGTTTTTGCAATTTATTTTATTTGTTATATTCATTTCTTTCTCATTCATACAAGGATTTTAATTGTCCTTGTAGTCTTACCATGCACGTGTACATACAGTTGCAGAATCCCGATTGTTTGGTCATGGTGGATAACTGTTATGGCGAATTCACAGAGATAATTGAACCTCCAATGGTGGTATGTAGCAAATCTACTCACTTTCCTGTTTTCTCCATCATAAAATGTCCCGAATCAAAGTTCAGCTGGATACTTTTTTGTCTGGCTAGCAGGGAGCTGACCTAGTAGCTGGAAGCTTTATTAAAAATCCAGGTGGAACAATCGCACCATGCGGTGGATATGTTGCTGGAAGTAGAAAATGGGTGGCTGCAGCAGCTGCTCGTCTCTCGGCACCAGGCCTGGGAATTGACTGTGGTTCAACTCCGGGTGATATCATGCGGATATTTTTTCAGGGTTTGTTCCTTGCTCCACAAATGGTTGGGGAAGCAATAAAGGTAAAATCACCTACTCGTTTTAATTTTTTTTTTTTCCCTTTTTCGTTGGTTTTATATTTATATCTCCACCTATTTTATTACTATTATTATCTCATTCGTGTAATGTGACTTGAGCTATTTAATAGGGAGGCCTTCTGATTGCTGAAGTAATGGCAGGGCGAGGGTACAAGGTCCAACCAGATTGCAGGGTTCCTCGCCATGATATAGTACAGGTTTACCGAGTAAAATGAAAATCAACATATGAAGTGCAATTATTGCTTATAGATAATTACTAATTAGATAGGCTGCCGTAAGGTTTGGTCGAAATAAATAAAAAGAAAAAAGAAATACACTGAAGTACCTGTTGGCCTTGAGGTTATACAAACACACCCCTAGAATTCTGGAAATTTATCAATAACTATCTATCCACGAGATGTGAAATACATAAACAGAAACAAATATCAAGGGAAGCTTTGTTATCTTGGGGTGAAGGACCTTTCTGTGATTAGTAAATGAGCTTTAGTTGAAGTTTGAAATGACCTTTGTGAATGCTTTAACCTGCTTTCAGGCAGTACAACTTGGAAGTCGTGAACGCTTGCTTGCTTTCTGTGAGGCTGTGCAGAAAAATTCGCCTGTTAGTTCTTTTACAAAGCCCATAGCCGGTGCAACTCCTGGCTATGCATCTGAGGTATTTTTTAGCTGATTCCAAATTATTGGCCTCGACTGAACAATAATACTCTTATCTCAATCTTTTCCCAGATAATTATATTACTTTGCTATTTGTAAAATTAATTTTCGCTCGTTTCTTTGAAAAAAAATTAATGCACGACCATTTACATTGATATCTTTTCTTACTTGACCACGAATTCGATGGAACTACCTGTCGTAGGTGATATTTGCTGATGGGACTTTTATTGATGGAAGCACAAGTGAACTTTCATGTGACGGGCCTCTGAGAGAACCATTTGCTGTTTATTGTCAGGTGCCGACTAGTTTTTTCCTAAGCAGAATAGTTAGGAATGGATTTTTTTTTTCTTTTTTTTTTTTTATAGTGAAAATGCACAAATGTATGGACATATGCATATTGGTGAATCTTGTGAAAACCCTTAGATTTGTATTCACCAACTTTTAGTTCATCTTGTTATATTGATGAATACATATCATTACATTATTTGTGGATTTCCATGGACAGGGTGGCAGCCATTGGACTCAATGGGGACTTGTTCTAGGGGAGGTTCTAAAAGTTTTGTAGAGTATATATCAAACAACAGTTTTTGTCAGGCCCCAGTCGACTGATCAAAACACTTCTTTGCTTGAGTTTGAGCATCGATTTGATAAGTTGCGGAAGGCACGTTTATGAACTTAAGCGGCTTTGCTCTATAGATTTTCGCTACAAATGTTCGAAAATTTGTAGCTTCAATGTGCATTAGAAGTCATTGTTTCTTAATTTTAATCTTTTTGATGCAGTGACCAACTATAGAATTCATGTTGTTTGTTTTTGTTGAATGGAACAAAAAAAAAGGGCTATTTGAAAACGATGCTATCGTACAGGATTTAGATTCTAAGCTATGCAGAAAATTCGAACCTTTCTAGCCAACCCCATGGCTAAATAAATATGTGAACTCAAGCTTAAAACAAGGACGGCAGAGTCCTTTGGAAATGGGTGATGTTCATATTCAATTATTTTGTTAAAAATTTGATATAAAGCGTCCTCATAGCCCCCGAGTGAATTTAGGCACTAACCACAAACAAGAAGACCTTTTATTTGGTAAAGTCCAGAGATTTGTTACAAACAAACTAGAAATGACAACAAACAAGGTTTACACATGTTTGACCCTTACAAAAAGGGTTCATTTTGCAGCAACGATCATAAAAAAACCTGCATCTCAAACTGAATGCTGTGCTCAGTATTAATCTGTGATTCCTACAAGCGACATTATTACATATTCCTCGGCAAATCCCCTAATTTAGTGTGCTCCTTCTCCAACTTTCTGCAAAGAGCAGCAAAAATTAGAAAAAAAA